TATATATATATATATATATATATATATATATATATATATATATACACTTGTTTATTTATTTGGTAGCAGATGGACAAAGTAGATCAAGTTCAGGTGAATAAGGGGCACCCCACACCCCCAACTTGTACTACCACCAACCCTTGCAAAGTAGCGCAATCACAGTGCGCCCCCAACTGGCAACGCCCCCCTACCAATTTTTCTATTGGGCATGGGTATATCAGGTTAAGCAAATCAACCCATTATTGATTTCGACGTACAGACAACAGCAATAACCCCAATTAAGGTGGAACGGAGTACAAACCCTCCTGATTTCTGTCACCAAGTTGGATTTAGTTTAACAACAGCACCCCACGTGTGTTTTTGTGTGTGTTTGAGTATAAAAAGCATCCTCGTCATCACTGATCCGTGAGGAACCAGTTGATGCGACGCTTCTCGGCTTCCTGCTGTCACTCACTACGATAAAATACATAAATGTTGCGTTAAAGAAACCGTTGCAGCGCCTAAAAGCTGAACCACATCGCCTCACGGTGTGCGTAAAACGGCATTTCTACCACAAACCTGAGCTCCCAATAGGATTTTTCTGTCTATATTAGTTTTGATCACATAGCACAACATGTCTGTTAAATAGTGTAATGTAATTACATCCTGTGTTGAGAAGAAAATGTACTCTTTCCTTTCGCCATGGCACAGACAGTTCCCCGCGCTGTTAACGTGTGTGTATGTAAACACTATCCTGTTCTTCCCTGTGTCCAAATACGCACAAACATTGCAGCCAGATGATCCAGACTGTAGTAGTTCAGGGACATTGGAAGCTACACACGGGAAGTTGTGGGTGAATGTCCGCAACTGTGAAGCCTGGCTTCCTTCACATGCAGCCAAAGGTCTCTGGCCATAAAGCTCACTCACTCATGCCCTTTAATGGCGAAAGAAACCTTGATGACTAGTTATACAACTACCTCTAGTGCGGAGGTTCCTGTCGGAACTTTTCACCCTGGAGATCCTCACATATCTGGGAACAACATGTGTCGGTGCCCTCGCACCTTTACAATTGACCCAATGAAGTAGTATTTAAAAGAAATGAAAGGGGCAATAAGTGGATCAGTGAAGGGGTTTAGAATAAAAACGAAAGGCGAATAATTCCCACTTACGCGAAAACTCCCGTTTGCTCAAGTGCAAGGGTTTGCCTTGCTTGCGACGAGACATGGTTCGGCAAAGGGCTTCTCAGCCGAGTTCACATCGGGAAATCCAATCCTAAGAGGTACACTCCAAATAAAAAATCTTCATTTGATGCGTCTGTCATCTGGATGAAGGAGGAAGAGGGACAAAAAGCAGAAGCGGATCTGCGGGTCAGACGGAGCGGGATGCGTAACGCGCAACGGGCTGTGTGGAGCTCTTCATGACTTTTCCTCCAAAGAGGGAGAGAGGGTGAGTGATGGGGTATACGGTGAAGCCCCCCCTGAGCTGCAAGTTCAAGTGCGGACGTGACGTTCCTACGAACTTGAACGTCGGGCGGTGAACGGACTGAGACATAGAAAACATGGGATGGGTGAAGCAGGCCAGTGGGAGGGAGGGGGCAAGCCTTAATGAAAACCAATGGACACTCATTATGGACTACCTATGGAAGAGAGAGAGACACCCTGTACATACCAGTGGACGAAGGAGATCAAGGGGGCTGGGCTATGGGAGAGGGGTAGGACCGCCACAGAGCGCATGGAGCAGGGAGATTGCGCAGCACAGCGTGGATGTAGTAGAGGATCAATTTAGCTAGTACGCAGCGTATGCAAATTAGAGAACAGAGCACGACAAGAAATAGACAGAATAGGCTTCTTTTAAAAAAAAAAAAAAAAAAGCCTGTGTTCACATGTGTCTGGATTTTACATGTTGTGGGAACAGCTTATGGTTCTTCAGGGGTTCATGTTAGGAATAAGATGGAAACTAACAAACTCACAATAAAATGTTAATCTTCAGAAAACAAACACTGGTAAAAAAAATAAAAAATAAATAAAAAAACAAACAAACAAAATCTACATAAGTATTTTTTTTTTTTAAATAAGTGCATTTGTTCTTGGATTGAGGAGGTAAAAGAGACATTTTCCTGATGGAACAAGACAATTTACAATTTAAAATAAGAAAACACAATTGCGTTGTCTTATTTCAAGTGCATCTTATCCAATTATCTTATTTTAAGAGTAAATATACCATTCCATTGGCAAACTATCTAATTTACCTACTCAAATTAACGGTAAATACATTTAATCAAAGATAGTTTTAGTTATTTCTATCGTTTGTCCAGTGAAAGAGGAAATGTAAAAAAAAAAAAAAAAAACTTGAATCGTTTTGAAATATTTTTGCATCTTTTTGATATTCGTTCTTTTGTCTTGTTCTGTTGTTGATGACTTTTTTTTTCTTTTTTTGTGGTGGCTAATAAATATAGTTACTTTATTTTTAAGGTCAACTTAAAGACAATGTTTACAGTGGAAATGAGTCGATGCAATCAACTGGTTTTCCTTAGATAGAAAATGTTGAATCAATTTGATTGTATGATCTGGTTTAATTGTAAAGTGCCTTGAGATGACATGTGTTGTGAATTGGTGCTATGAATAAACTAAATTGAATTAAAAACTGTGTTTTTCTTGCATGTGATGCAAATGTATTTTGTTTTTTCAAAGGTTTTGTTAAAGGAAAGCTCAGTGTCCACACCTTAAAGCTTTTTCTCTCAGGTTTGTTTTCCTCAAAAGAGAGCACTTTAAATAACACTTCATAACGTGTATGTATTTATAACCATGAGACATCAATCCATCCATCCATCCATCC